TCTTTTGCAAAGTTCAGTGACCAATGGGGTGATTGTTAAAGTTCAGTGACCCAGGAGGTGATTTTTTGAAAGTTCGGTGACTAATCAAGTAGTTTTTAAAGTTCAGTGACTTGGTGGAAACTTTGGCCAAAGTTCAGTGACTAATGGGGTAATTAACCCTACAAAATAGCATTCTAGTGAATGCAATAAAAATACCAAGTAGATGGAGAGAAAAAGAAGATAATGTTAAGAAGCAGTATTTTTGTCTTTAATCATTTTTAAGATAAAACAATAATGGCAGGAGAATACTAACCTCTCAGCAAGCATTGCTGATCCTTCTTCAAATAATTCCTCTACTATACCCACAGGATAGCATCTTTGATAGTTTATGAGCAGATTTGCAAGATTTTTTTCTGAAGAACAAAGCTTGAAGTTTGTTATATTTCTTGGGTGGAGAAGGAGGCTGCACTGTACAATTAGGAGGAATTATATCAACAACTACACAAGTTGTGTCATCCTTCAGTCCACGTTTCTTCAGTGCTTCCTATACAATTACCAATTGATGGAATGAGATATTCCCATAAACTGGTTTACCACACGTACAAACCAAAAGCAAAATGTAGGTCAATACATTATTATTTTGTATTATCCTACATACATATTTTGAAAGGACCAGATTTTATAAACTCAAGCTAGTAAGGAGACTAGAGCTTAATAGACTGATGAGTTAGAAGTCAAATACCTTCAGTACTAGCCTAGAAGCAAGTTCAGCGGACAATCCACGACAAGATTCTGCTGCCATATCTGATGACAATGCATCCCATACGCCATCCGAGGCAATTATTAGCCTTCCACCTCCATTTGATAGCTTCATAGCACTTAAACAAGTCAAGGATTCCACACATAAGCCATCTACTTCATAAATAATGAGAGGCATGTGAAATAGTAAATAAAACTCAGGAGCGAGGGTGGGGGTGGGGGAGGGCGGTCGTAGATGTTGAAGAAAAACTTAAAATAAATAAATTTATGTCCCTCTAAAGGCTTAAAATTTTAGAAGAGGTTCTCCAACATGGTATCATAGAAGGTAAAGGTTCTAAGTTTAAGTCTCATCACCACCTATTTATGAAAATCGTTGCCTTTTATAGAAGAATGTATCGGGCCTGCACATCGAGGGCATGTTGAAAACTAACCTATAAATAATTAATATTATTCCCTCTCTAGGAATTTAAGCTTTCAAATGAGAAGGTTCAACAGTTGAATAAGAAGCAATAAAAGATCAATACTTATGTACCTTCACTTGTTTGACATACGGTACTGGAACTATAAATTCACCAACATCCATGTCTCCAATAGATCTTGAAAGGCATAAACCCCCTGGCCAACATCTGAGAGGGCCAAT